TCCCTGGAGTCAGCAAGCACTCACCTTGGCAGCTTCCTGAGCCACCTTCACCAGCATGAAGAACTCATTCTGGATCCCAGGAAGGCTAATTTTCTCAAATACACTCTCTTGGGCTTGCGCGAGCATCATTTTCACCAGCACACTGAGCATGGCAGGGCTCATGTCGTAACTTGGAGTATGAGTGAAAGTCTCTTTAAGGTAGTTTAAAACCCCTGAAATTGTACCCAAAAAAAAAAAAATTGTTTTTTTGCACATTAGTTGGGAACATGTTTATTTGACCATATTGTTTAAAAGTATAGCAAGTGATCAGAGCAAGAACATAATGCTGGTGCCTAGTTGTTGTTGTTGTTGTTAAGTGCTGTCAAGTCAATTCCGACCCATATATAGGATTTACAAGTTACAGCTGGTGACCTTGAACCCTAGAGCATCCTAAAAGGTCTGATTCTCACTTGGGTCTAGAGGTCAAAGAAGGAAGAAGTCAGAGAGATTAAAAGCATGAAAATTCTATGAAAGGGGCCACATGGCAAGGATCTGCAGACAACTTCTAGGGGCTCAGGAAGGCCTCTGACCCATAGCCAGCAAAAGATCAGGGTTCTGTGGGGCAACAGAGGAAGGAGAGTCAGGAATAGGAAAAGGATACAAAAAAATGTGTGGTTCATTGCCACCAGTAACCACAGCCTCGCCTGAAATGAGGCCAGAAGAACTAGGAAAGGGCTGAACATTTTGATCAAAGATTGTACAGAAGAGTCTTGATCAAAAGGGGAGACGATGCAAAAGAGAATTTCAAAGTCTCAAGAACTCCAGACTTTCTGGAGCCACAGAAGGCTAAATGAACCCCTGAAACTTTTGTACTGAGATTATCTTTAAAATCTGAAAATAAAAAAAATACACCCCTGGAGTCTTAAAACAGAAGATAGTCTAGTTTAACTAGTAAGGAATGTCTGTTTCGAGCATTGTGCTATTTTAAGAACTACCTATAAAGGATCAAATGCAACTCCAAACACTAGATAGGAAACAGACCTTTATGCTAAAGGAGGAAGAACAACTTGAAGGAGAAGGGTAAAGTTACACAACTTGAGGAATGTAATTCACCTCAATGGATTTGTACATGGAGACATTGTACACTTGGCATATATTCATATTTAACAACAAGATAAAACAAACTATTTCCTAAAAGAGAAAGAACAGAGCCCTCAGCATTAATCTCAAAAAACATCATTCTGCCAACAAACCTGAATGTCCTTGGAAGAGGACCCCAATTCTCACGAGACAACAGCGTCAGTCAACACTATGCGACAACATGCACAGAGGATCCACCTAAGCTAAATTTGGACTTCTGAGCTATAGAAACTGTAAGATTAGTGAATGGATGTTTGCTTAAACGTCTTGAAAAAAGAAATTGGATTCTCTTTTGAGACATTTGCATCTATGTCAGTTATTCCAATAGACTAATGGACCATGGACCATATGAACATCGGTCTCTATGACCCTGAGACCTGAAGAACCAGATGGTGCCCTGCCACCATTAGCTACCACTACCACTAGCTATAACTTCTCTGAAAGGGATCACATTAGAAGGTCCTGGGTAGAGTGGGAGAAAGTGTGGAAAAAACTTAAAATTATTTTAAAAAGACCAGGTTTAGTGGTCAGAAAGACTGGAAGAACCCGAGACTATGGCCCTTGGTCGCCCTTCAGGTCTGAAAACCAAATACACCCTCGTGGCTCAATTTTAAGCCAAGCAGGAGACAGATATGTAAAGGGGACAGCAATATGAGTTACATATGCCATGGAATGGTCAGCCATTCAAGATCAGAAGGGCTGCATTTACCTAAGGACCAAATTCAGAAGGGTTGGGAAAGAAGGTGGAACAGAAACCAGAAACACAGGAAGGAAGTGGGATAAAGGATGTTACAGAGACAGGATCAAAATCATTAAGATGAAACCAAATGCATGATGTGTTGAATGCAAAACTGATGATCTGCTCTGTAAATCTTCACTCAATTTACAATAAATATATTTTTTTAAATCAACCAACCAACCAACCAACCGGCAATCCTCTTTCCTTCCTGGTCCTGTCTGATCTGGAACAACTAAAGAACTCCACTCATGAAAGCAACAGCTGGCAGCCAGCAGGTCTGAGGGACTCACAGGGTGACAATAAGACATGGGTCCAAAAATGCAGGACTTCCCCCCAGCACCTCACGATAGATCAATTCAGCCCATTCCAGTGGAAATTTTCATGTTCTTGCTCTCAGCTGACTTTTTTTGAGTGCTTGTGAAAATGAACTGTCACCGCATAAACTGACAATCATTCTGGAGCTGAAATACAATCTCTGACGTAAATCCCATCCAACTGGTTCCTCTGGTTTTGTGGCAGAACACAAATTGCCCCATAGGAGGATCTGAGACCAACAGACCACTGCTGGCTGACTGCTCCCTTGGGGCTCATAACCTGGGCACACAGGCCACTATTCTATAGCTTTATGTTGCCACTTGGGTGATAGTCTCTCCGGAATCTTGAAGACAGGTCACAAGTGTGTCTGTTCTTCCTTCCCTTCATTCAGATTCTTCAGAAAGAAAAGCCCAGATTTACAAAACCAATGCCAGCATGAAATCCCTGAACATCATTAAATCCCGAGGAACAAATTTCATGATTAGCCAAAATGATCAAGCTACCACTCTGCACAGCCTTGCAGAGCAAAGTAAAATACTCAAAAAGGTTCCCTACCAGAGGTAACAAGGAGCTCTGGTAGCAGAGTGGGTATGAGTCAGGCTGCTAACCTCACGGTCAGTAGTTTGAAACTACCAGCTGTTCCACAGGAGAAAGATGCTGCTTTCTGCTCTCTTAAAGATTTACAGCCACAGAAACCCTATGAGTCGGAACCGACTCCACGGCACACTACCATCACCACCAAGGCAGAACAACAGCGTATGCACCAAAGAAAACACCATGTTGAGCCAGTTCAGGGTCTGTATTCTGCCCCTGCTTTCTCCTATACAGTCTTCACCCTGAGTCTGTCCTGGATACAGACCAGGCCATTGTGGTGATTCCAACTCATAGTGACCATTCAGAACAGACGAGAATTGCTCCATTGGGATTCTGAGGCTGTAAATCTTTAAAGGAGTTGATATAGTCTCATCTTTCTCCTGAGGAACAGCTGGTGGGTTTGAACCACTGACCTTGAGGTTAGCAGCCTGGTGCTTAACCCAGTGCACGACCAGGGCTCCTTCAGACCACACTTGTTAAGTGCTGTCAAATCAGGGCTGTCAAATCAGTTCCAACTCGTACTGATTTCTGAGGAGCAGCTAGTGGTTTTGAACCGCAAACCTTGCAGTTAGCGGTCTAGTGCTTATCCTACAGCGCCACAGCAGGACCCCTCAGACCAAGGTTCTTATTGTTGTTAAGTGGCATCAAGTCAGTTTTGACTCAACAGCAACAATGTATAGGGTTTCCAAAGAGTGGCTGGTGGGTTTGAACTGCCAACCTTGTGATTCGCAGTCCAATGTTTACTCTCTAGCCCCACACCAAGACTCTCAGAACATGCTTGTTGTTAAGTGCTAGTGAGTCGGTTCTGACTCATATTGGCCCTGCAAAGGATTTCTGAGGAGTAACTTACCCTATATCCCTACACCAGGACTCCCCCCACCCCCGACTTCCCCCAGAACATGCTACTGTTGTTGAGTTCCGACTCACAGCAACCCAGTATAGGGTTTCCGAGGAGGGGCTGATGGGTTTAGACCGCCGACCTTGCAGTTAGCTGTCCACTGTTTATCCTACAGTGCCACACTAGGACTACCCCAGAGCATGCTTGCAGAGTCAACCCCTCCCCCTCCAGCACACACTTGTCTGTACACTGCTGACACTGCCCTCTACAGTCAAGCTGCTGAACTACATTCCTCCCCAACCCTGCACCTGGCTCTCACTAAGATGAGTTTCAGGGGTGAGCAGCTGGGAAAAAGAGGTTCAAATGGGAAAAGGCTTGTTTATAAGTCCCAGAGAAGATAATTATGCACTTGTATGCATATGTGGGAGTTCTGGTGTGGCACTGTGGGTTACTGCGCCGGACTGCGAAACCATTTGAACTGCAAGGTTGGCAGTTCAAGCTCACCAGCTGCTCCTCGGAAACCCTGTACAGGGTCACTATGGGTCGGAACACATTTGACGGCACTTAACAATAACAACAACAACATGCATATGTGCAGAGTCCTAGTGTGGTTAATGCACTGGACTGCAAAGTCTGCTTGAACTGGGAGGCCTGCTATGGGTCGCTATGGGTTAGAACCTGACTTGACGGCACTTAACAACAACAACATGCATAAGGGGACACCAGGGCAGAGAAAGCAGCCTGAGACTGGCCAATATTATGGAGTAACGCTAATGGGATGGATAGTAATTGGTGCTGATAAACCCATACTTAATCAGAGCGAAAAATAGTCTATATTTTCACAATCAGGAATACGTCTACTGTTGTTTGTTTGTTTGTTTCTTTCTTTTTATAGAGTATTTGTTTACTGCCATTCTTGGGACCACTCATTTGGAAAAGATGACCTGGATTCCTGTGTGCATATTGAGATGGAGACGTCAGGATGTGAACCACTAAGTACTTCTCTTGATGGAAACTGGTTGGGCCATGCAGGCGTGTGTGTCCAAGCGTGGACATGAGGAGGACCCACAGACCCTCCCCGACGGGCAGCCCCTGCAGGACACACCTGCAGCTCGTTGTAGGGCCTCCATGGCACTCTCTAGGCCGGCTTGTGTCTGCCGATTACACCGGGTCCCAATCTGTGTGTAGAGGGCTCCGATGTTGAAGAGAACGCTGGCCTTTTCCAGTAACAAGTTCTGTTGGCTGACGGGAACTCCAGTGAGGGAGTCGTACCTATTTAAAAGAAACATGCTTTGAGAACAGGGATTACTGAGCTAGTTAATATACGAGAGGTTTCAAAAAGTTCATGGCAAATGGAATTGCAAGAAGCCCACCACTTACATGGATATACACATACATACATATGTGTGTAATAGGGGAGTGCTTCAAAAGTTCGTGGAAATTTTTCATTATCTTTCATTTTATTTTCCCACAAACTTTTTAAATCCCCCATGTATATGTACTTTCTAGTGAAACTGACTCAACCAAATTAATTTCTGGAAGGAATGTCCAAGATGTCTTTGCAAGGAGGTTTGGATTTCTGAACAAGATGACAGGCCTGATTGTCCTTAATGAAGACCCCCACCAGCGCATGGGACCCCAGTGGTTCTGGCACTGTAGGACCAACACTGGACTACACCAGATCACAAGGTCGGTTTGAACTACAATGTCAGTGGTTCAAACTCACCAGCTGCTCTGTGGAAACCCTACACAGGGTCACTGTCATTGTTATATATATGTACAGTTCTTGGAGTCCTAGTGGGGTGCTGTGGGTTAATGCGCCAGACTGGAACTGCAAGGTGGGTGGTTCAAACTCACCAGCTGCTCCACGGAAACCCTATCTATACAGGGTCACTACGAGTTGGAATTGACTCGATGGCACTTAACAACAACAACGAAGTTCTTGGACTCCTGGTGTGGGGCTGGAGGATCAGCACTGGACTGACAAACACAGATCGGCAGTTCAAACCCACCAGCTGCTCCTCGGAAACCCAATACAGGGTTGCTAGGATTTAGAACCGACTCAATGGCCCTTTAAAACAACAACATAGTGTTCTTCTCTTGGGGGGAAAAACAAACTGTGATTTCCACTCCCATTCCATGGAGGATAAATAAATGCCAATTCACTGATTTCTCTCTGGACTCTCCTTTGTGAAAGCAACACTTAACAAAGAAGCAGTAATAAAACAGAATAGCAGAGGGGCACTGCGGTGCCAAGAAGCTGAAACCCCAGCACTGAACTCAGCACCTACCATGTAAACATGATCCCCATCTGTCTGGTGGGTGGGAAGAATCTACTCTCCACAAAACCCAGCTGGATAAAGTAACTCATGAGCAGTTCCACACCAGCTTCATCCCGGCTGGGTGTCCGACAAGCCTGCAAAAGAAGAGTTGCAGCGTGGGTGCACAGGATGAGTGGCACAGTATGCCCCGCCCCCTGTTCCCAGTGTCTCTCACTGCTTCTGTGGATCTTGGGCCCCATGGCTGGTATGATGAACTCTTGGAGGAGTGGGAAAGGCCCAGGAGTCCTGAAATCCAGCTTTGAATGGACCATGTCTCCCCACTTCTGTGGTTTTCTTAGCAACAAATGGACCGGATGCTTTTGACAGTCCCTCCCTCTCAACTCCAACCATCAGTGATGCTCTAAGATTCCAGGTACCCAGGAATGGAGCATTCTGGAGAATAAACAAACAGGTCCCAGCCAGCCTTCCCACAATGCTGCACACAAAAACTTACTTGTCTCAGATCCATAAGATCAGCGATTTCATCTTCATATAAATAGCTGTCTTCACTGTAATGTTCCAGGATAAAATCCTTGATGAAAAACAGGGTCAGATAATAAAAGATGTGATTCAAGATCAGGAAAATGTATAATAAAAATAATAATACCCCCTTTCTAAAACATATGTTGTTTTGTTGTTGTTGTTGTTAAGTGCAGTCAAGTCAGTTCCGACCCATAGCGACCCTGTATAGGGTTTCCAAGGAGCAGCTGGTGAGCTTGAACTGCCAACCTTGCAGTTAAAGCGGCTTTGCAGTCTGGCACATTAACCCACAGCGCCACACTAGGACTCCTAAACATATGTAGAATATAGCAAAACATGTAACGATTACACACAAGAATGATTTTCAGAGTGGTAGGATCGATTTTCTTAAATCTCTTATTTTTATAAACATAAATAGGTATTTTTTAAATTGCCGCTGTTGCTGCTTTAGTTAAAAGTTGTAGTTACTTTTTATTTTAAAATGTCTTTGTGACATGGTGAAATGGCCTCTATACATTAGGCAATTCTGACAAACGTCACAGATATCCTGGGGCTTAGACCTTTGTCCTTGTTGTGCTCTCAGTATTTGGGCACAACAGGGAACCACTTGGGCAGAGGAAACTTGTATTGTTACCTCAGGGTTTGTGATGGGGCCTTTGTGAGTGTGGGCACTGCCACAAAGGAACAGCCCTGTGAGAGGCCAACAACAGCTCAGTGTTTGACAACTACTTTGTCAGTAGTTGTTGTTAGGTGCCATTGAGTCAGTACTGACTCATAGTGACCCTGTGCACAACAGAAGGAAACACTGCCTGGTCCTGGGCCAACCTCACAGCTGTTGCCACGCTTGAGCCCATTGTGAGTACATTCTGTTAGTCAACAAATACTCTGACGACCTGCCATATGCCAGGCACTTCTCTCTAAGTGCTTAGACTATTCCAACAGTGAACACATAAGCCAACTATTCCTGCCCTCATGGAGCTTCCATTTTAGCAAGGTAAGGTAGTAAATATAAACAAAGACACAAGTGAATTAAACAGCTCATTAACAACAGTGATGGACTGGTGAGCTGGTGGCAGAAGTCTCACTTTCCACCCCAGACACCTGGGTCTGATGCCTGGTCAAAGCAGGTCAGGCACAGACAACATTTCATTCCAATGTGCAAGAGGCCTTAATGGCAGCTAACAACAACGACAACAACAACAATAACGAACCCAGACCCATTACAATCTCTGGAGATCGTTCAAGTTTGTAAAGTACGAATCTCATATTTTAGAAGACGGCGAGGGTTATAGGACAATGAAATGAGATTAGCATAAGGGACAAGTGCTTACGGGAAGTAAATGGTTAACACATTTGAAAGTTGGAGGTTCAAGTCCATCCAGAGGGCATCTTGGAAGAAATCTACTTCCCAAAAAGTCAGCCTTCCAGTTATTCAACAAATCTCTTTAAAGAAAGCAAAAATAAAGAAAAGGCTTTTGATGAATTTTGATGAATTGAGTGCAGGTTTATAGAGAAGAGCATCTGGTTTCCATTCAACAAATCCTACACTTTGTTTCATCATCTCAGCGACTGCAGTCCCCTCCCTGCAACAACAGTTATCCCACTTCCTCCTCCCTGTGCTTCCTAGTTACATTCCATCCTCCATCTCCAGCCCTTCTCAACTTGGGCCTTCCGTAGAGGCTGCCCTTTTGATTTTGAATAGTTGACCACTCCATGGTGGGCATTCCTTCCTAGTGCTGTTCTTCCCCTTATACCTATTTACTGCTTCACTGAAAATTGGGCCACAAGGGTGAGTTCCTTTCCAGACCTGAAGGGTGGGTAAAGGCCAGAGTCTCAGCTTCCTCCAGTCTCTTTCTGACTAGTAAATCTGGTCTTTTTTTTTTTTTTTTAAATTTGAGTTTTTTTCCACATTTTCTGCCACTCGATCCAGAATCAACAAATATTTCTTGACTACCTGTTATGTGCCAGGCACTGCTATCTGAAGCACAATTCTCCTGTGACACACATGGGGTTGCTGCAAGTCTGGGTTCACTAAAAGGCAACTGGTGTCCATTCCCTTTCTTACTGCCCTCTGGTCTCCTGGCTACACTCAGCAGGAAGTCACAGAGCAGGGAGGCTGTTGATCCCTCCCCTGGTACAAGCCAGGAACCAAACAGATGATTTCCTGAAACACGCTCTGGGGGAAAATGGCTAGGCTAGCCATTGGTTGAAAAATGTTATAACTTCACTTTTTACCTCAAACTAAATTCCAGATTGATTTGATGTCAAAAATATAACAACAAAGCACTAGAACACAGTATCAGTGTAATTGTGGTGTGGAGAATGCCTTTCTGAATGTGCCATGTAGAAATGATGAAAGAAAGAATTGGTAAGTTGAATAACATAAAGATCTACACGATAAACAAAATATTATCTTTTCCTAGTTGGTTATTGCTTGCTTAACTAAAGTTAAAGGGAAGAATATATTGGAAGAAAGACTGGTAACACATATAACAAAGGGCTAATATCCTTAATATATAA